TGTTGGTGTTGTTGGTGTTGTTGGTGTTGTTGGTGTTGTTGGTGTTGTTGGTGTTGTTGGTGTTGTTGGTGTTGTTGGTGTTGGTGTTGTTGTTGTTGTGGTGGTTGTTGTGGTTGTTGTTGGTTGTTGTTGGTTGTTGTTGTTGGTGGTGGTGCTGCTGCTGCTGCTGCTCTTGTTACGTTGCGTTCTTTTGTGTATTGTTGCGGTGCAGATGTGAAAACAAAGTGCAAAAGACAGTCAAACGCATTGGCAAGCTTCCCTTCCCTTCCCTTTTCCCTTCCCTTCCCTTCCCCTTCCCCTCCTTCCTTCCTTCCTTCCTTCCCTCCCTCCCTGCCTTCCTTCCTTCGTTCCTTCCTTCCTTCCTTCCTTCCTCGCACCTTCCTTCCACCAGAAAACGGGAACAAATTCCCAAAAAAAAACGGGAAAAAAAAAACAAAAAAAATAGCCCTCCCTTACTTTCTCCCTTCATTTGCTCCCTTTTTTCTCCCCATATGTTCTCCATTCGTTTTCTCCCTTTATCTTCTGTTCACCAAGCTATCTCAAGTTGAAGTTGACACTCCGGTAATCAAACATGGCGAAGGGAGATCCCCCATCTATAGATGGTTTTTCCACTCAATCTCCAGAGGATTTTCCAGCTAGCCCTGTTGAACTGAGCCATGGCAATTCTAGCCAAGCTTCAGCAGGAGGCAGCAGCATTCCGGTGACAGTGCCTCCAAAACAAAGGTTGAAAGCCATGGGCTCGCGAAAAGGCTTACTGGTGCTGAGTAGGGAATGGGGGAATGGGATGATTCATAGTTATTATGGATCATTGCCCGATTCCCTACGAAGCACCAGTACGAAACACCATCAAAGAAATCGACCAAAACATCCCCGAAATCCTTCAGTCCATGCAAAAACGATTCGAAACACATGACAAGAAAGCACGCAACGCGGCCACAGCAAAATTTATCAGGCAACCTGGCCTTCGGCCACTGCTTCACATGCCCAAAGGTGGGGCTACTGCTACTGAAGCACCCAATTTTGGGCCCAAAGGCGCGTTCTTCGATTAGTCGGTGCACATGTTCACAAGCAGATCTGTGCAAGATGTGACCCAGCACCATCAAGAGAAAGTTCGTTGTCATGGCCCAACACCTAATAAAACAATCACCGTGATAATAGCATTTCTTAATTTCCAACCCTAAAAATTATGATCAAGAATATAGTAGCAATGGCATGCAATGGCAATAATATGTAGTATATAATGATCATCATCATCATCATCATCATCATCGACATCATCATCATCATCATCATCATCATCAAACATAAATCCAAGAAAAACGATACCAGCGATGATCATTTGACCATCGAAGCATGGCGCACTATCGGATCTGTGGGCACGACCAGAGCCGCGGCCGAAGGGTCGTTGCTGTCGATCCAAAGTGCTGCTTCCAGGGCTGCGGTGATGATCTCTTTCTTCATCTGGGCCTGTCCAAGGCTCCAAGGTTAGTTTCTATCAGCTTCCTGGAACTTTTGGTTAAGGTAGCTGATGAATTATGATAGCTTCTCGATTGGGTAAGTAATCATAACCCATCCTTGTGATAAGAATCAGAATCTTCCATATGAGCCATATGTTTGCAGTTTGGGATTTCTCAAAAATGTTCTCAAATTATGATATAGGTGTGATACTTTATGGGGAATGGGGAGAACCTTCCGATGAAACATCACCATATGGCGATTATTTCCCCCAACTTGGTGAATGCCTGCTGTCTCCTCTATCTTTCAAACAAATCAATCAAGACAGTAACTCCGCAAGCTACTTGGGAATAAAAAAACTAGCCCACAGGTCGTACTGGTATAAGACTAGTTACACCTGTCGTTTCACCAGGTACAACATGCTTTGTAACATGAGTCATGTTACATCCCATTTCTTCAATGGTTCTATCATAAGCCTGAGGGAACAGAAAAAAACAAACAGCCTCGGTGCGTTCCAGTATGGTGTTGAGCTTGATCTCCAGATTAGAGAGTTGTCCTGGCATCAGTAAAAGTTTCCCGGGCACAGCTGAAAAAAAATTGCCGTTTAGCTGAAAGATGGGCAAGAAATCCGGCAATGTTTAGAATGGTTGGTTACATTTGGTTATCCATTTCCCGGGGTCCCGGCACTGTGAGATCTGTGAGTTATCAAGATGAAAGATCCTTTCCAAAAATCCCAGAGAAAATCTCAGAGATGGGCGGAATGCCCACGAAATCTCCTGCCTATGGTTCTCGTCTCAGGGGGCCTGAGATCATGGAGCCGCAGCGGGATCAACTCCGGGAACCAACGACATCCAACGACGTCGACAGGATTCGGCAGGACCTGAAGATTTGGGAAGCAACGATCCAGGCCTAGGTGGCCCAACCCAACGGCAAGATCCGATGACGAGCCAGCGCGCTGCTGCTTACATAGGCTTTTTGGAGTGCACATCATTGAACCATCATGGAATTCCCATTGTTTCAACATGTTTCAACATGTTTCAACATGTTTCAACAGGACGACCAATGCTGCGGTGCATTGGAAGTCTAAGCCAAAGACCACCCGAATCCATCCGAGAATGGCAATGAACTGGGAGAGCAAGTCCCAAGGGATCTGCCTTGGAACACACCAAGCTATCCAAGCTCAACAGAAACACACCGAAGTCACTTGGAGCGCCGGCGGATACTTCATGACAAACTCCAGTAGACCTCATCGGCGAATCACGAGGCATCTTGAGGCGACCGAGTATCTGAAAAGATCTGAAAAGCTGATGTTTTCCAGCCTGGCCTGGATGATGCTTGAGAACTTGATAATCCAAGTCGACATAGAAAGGCAGGCGACCCATAAACCTCCGGTGCTTGCTGCTTCATCCATTCCATTTTCCGAGATTCTCCGCGATTCTAGCTACTTCGGCTGCGAATCCCAAGCCACAAAAGGAATTCGCAACCACTAAAAACCCCATGACCTTTGGAATAATGTGGGTAAAACAATGTCATAAACCATGGTCATTTTTATGGTTTATGACCTTGTTTTATCCACATTATCCCCAGTACCTGGGCTCTACAAATAGCTACCACTTTAGCGCTGCGCCAAGGTGCTGTAGGATGGAATAGATCCCCGCCAGCACCACGCCATGCACGGCCATCGTCAAGATGCCGGAGAGAGCGCCTTGCCTAGCCATGGCATGGGATTCGAAACTGGCCGAATCTGACCCTTGAAAAATGGAAGATTGGAATATTTGGGAGAATTTTGAAAGCCTTCCGATGTAAGCACACTGGTTTTTTGGGGGACAGCATGAATTCAAATTCACCCCATAAGTTCATGCGCCTGATGTAGAGGGCCATGACTGGCCAGGCAAACCTTGGAAATTTGGCGATCCCATCTACAGTCATTCCCTGGTGACCACTGAATGGGTCAGACAAGCAGCCACGGCGCCACTGGCACTGCAAAGTGTCGCAACAGGACACACCTAGGCTGCTGGTGGGCTGCTATGGCTGGTGTCTTGGGTTCTGTTGGGTTCTGTTGGGTTGTTGCTCAAATGACCACCTGGATCCGGCCATTAGAGTTGCTGAACAAAAACGGGAAGCCAAATGGCTTGGGCCTCAAATGTGTGACACCTGTTGAGGTGATCTCATTATCCGTGCTACATGGCATCAGACCGTCCATTTTATTGGGGATGAAACAAGTCGGAAATCACTGATAAGCCCATATTTGGGGTATTGTTTTTATTACTCTGGTAGAATGTTGTAAATGGATCTCAACGGAGTATGATTTGCAGTTTAAACTTCAAAACCATCCAATAAATTACCATGTGGAAAATGCACAGATCATTTCCTGCATGCCTATGTGAATTTACTTCACTATGGGTAGTAACTTCGTATTAATAACTTCTACAACTACAGTAACGTGTATATATATATATATCTATCTATCTATCTACCTACCTACCTATCTATCTATCTATCTATATCTATATCTATATCTATATCTATATCTAATCTAATCCACTCCACTCCAATCTAATCTAATTTCATCTATCTATCACTCCACTGGAAATTTGTCCTTTGCACAAATTTCTACATCCGTGGATTTCTGCCACCCTCCACCACTTCCTACACCTGAGGCCCCCCAGCCCGGCGACACGTGAGCGTTGCACCTGCAACGCAAAGTCCCGCGCCTTCGCCTTGGGAATCGCTGGGAATCTGGGATTGGTCACAGCAGCTTCTCATTCAAAAAAATCGTCCCATCCCCCGGTTTACCCTCTGGTAATTTAACATAGCTATTGAAAATGGCCATTTATAGTGAGTTTTCCCATTAGAAATGGTGATTTTCCATAGTTATGTTAGTTTACCAGAGGGTATATCAAACAGCCCCAAACGAGACCATGCTTTAGAAGGGAATTTCCACATTGAGAACATCGAATGGATTGAATGGGTGGTGTTTTTGATCATTTAGGATGGGATGATTCTGGATATCGGACACGGCGGCCTCCACAGATTTGCTGAAGATCGCGCCGTATGTTTTCCTGTACCTTGCGGCTCATTGGTGTCTCACTTCCCAGGTGCTTCCCCTTCCTCCCCCGGGCACTTTGGCAGTTCGATGGCCAACCTCGGAGTCGGAGCCGTGGAAGATCCATTGATGCCATATTTTTCTCGTTTTGATGTGACCTACCCTCTGGTTATTTAACATAGCCATGGAAAATTGCCCATTTATAGATGGTTTACCTATTAAAAATGGGGATTTTCCATGGCTATGTTAAATAACCAGATGGTAATTTTTGATTTATGTTGATGGGATGATGAGAAACCAACGCAATCTGGAACCTGAGAGTAGCCTTAGACTTTCCATGACTTTCCCACGTGAATCAGCAGGCTCATCTAAGCCAATGGTATCCAATGGTCCGGCCCTAGGTCATGGTGACCAAGCCTCATCAAACTAGGATCATGATCCAAGCAGAATTGAGTATCCAGCTTGGAAAGGATGAAGCACCGACCTGACTCCGCCTGCTGCGCAACGAACTGGGAAAGGCATGCCCCAAAAAAAAAGGGCAACCAGCGTAATCGGGCAATGTGGAAAATCCCCTATTTCTCAAGACTTTGGGGAAGCTCCAAAGCCATCCCAAAACCATCTTTGTTGAGAAAGGTGGAACATGGTGGAACCGCCAATATCACCAAAATGGTAAGATGGCATGTTCCTGCAGCCAAGTCTCCACACTGTGCACCTCCTTCTGCCATTCTGCCAAGACCTCCAGAAAACTGCTGGTGAAGCGGCAATGTCAGCGACATCATGAAAGGCCAGGGATTGATTGAACCCCAAATGAAGATAAAACCAGAAGAAAAGGAGATACGAAAACGGGATAAGAATTTTGCTTCGCATCACCAAAATGAGATGGTTCCCCGAATTGCTCCAACACCGAATCTATGGTTGCCCTAAGGCCCCGTCCATCTCTTGATTGATGTCTTCCAACTCATCCCTCTTCTTGCGAAAGCACTGCTGCAGCCTCACCAGTTGATGCATCAAGTCCAAGCTGCCGGTTAAATGAAGAACAAAGAAAGTTCCGACATCTTGTTCCTTTCCCATCCTTTCCCATCCTTTCCCATCCTTTCTGCATCAAAATTGCGTTTAGTTCAATGTTGACCATTGTTCTTCAGAGGTTTTCATGGCATTCCATTAACACTTTTTGGACACTGTTGGTGCTCCGAAAACCTCCATTTAGTGGGATTTTCTGACCAGCCATGCTGAGGATGGTGCCGGCGCAAAAAGCCATCACCCAAATGAAAATCCTGGACCCGGTGCGGAGTAGCCAGCTATGTCACTCCGATTTTCAGGTTAGTGACGGTTAGCGGCACTCTGAAACATCATCAAATACCACCTTGTACATCATCTATCCACACCAGATCTGAGGTTCCGTCTTCAATATCTAAACACTTGACGCTCTGAAAGGAACAAACTGCACCAACTGGTTGCTGGCAGGAGCTTTCACCCCCAAGTGAGGACTTATATTTCTTCGTCAAACGTTCTTCAAGCTCCCTATGCTCCATGGGTTCCCAAGCCAAAAAAATATCTGCAAGCCATCCGTCCTAGAATTTGTTCAGGAAAACCCCAGAAATTTGATGGCAAAACTGCTGCGATTGAACCACCAAACAACAACGGTCGGTAGAGTCCTTGATGATCAAGTCGCGCTGTTCTTGGATGGACTGCTCAGACAAGTCCATAGCCGCGGAGAGGTTCAAGGATGGTAAGTCACCAGCAAACTCCTCTTGAGCGAAAGCACAATTTGCATCCAAAATAGCAGGGGATTAGTTGTTCAATTATAGTTATTCTATTTTTGGGGGGGTTCGAAGTGTTGTGAAGTTAGTGGTTGTTTGGATAGTTTTTCATTGAGGGAGATTGGGATTTGACACTTCCAAGCGAAATTTCTAGGTTCCCATGGGCTGAAAAACCTGATCTTTTGGTGAAAATTTACCGTGAATGCAATCCCCGAAGTGGATTTTTTGGGAGCTCCCAGCCCGTCCTGCGCCAGAACCCCAAATTTCTCGCAAAGCTGGGCTACGTGAGAATCCTCAAAGGCTTCTTTGGCCTGCGCAGCAAGTGTCCACCAGTGGGTCATTACCCCAAAATCCAAAGGTTTGGAGAGTTGCCCCGCGTTACTTCAAACCTCGCGATTCTGGCCATTGGGCCATGAGCAAAAAAAAATTGCAGCCAAAAAAAACATGTTCCCAAATCATGACAATCATGCCATATTTTCGGTGAGTTGATACATTCTGTTTCATTCAACCTACCTAGAAAAAAAAATCTCGGGATGTATTGGGAACCATCCAACCATATCCAACCCCTCCATCACCATACCATCCCTGGGGCGCCGCACCAAAGATATGCTGAAGTGATCTTTCTGCACAAGGTCCACATACATTCGCAGCTGGGCAGCAACACTGGCGGCCTGCAATGGCCTGGCACCTTGAAGTTGAGTGAACCTCATGCGGGCACAGTCCCATTCAAAACTGGGGATGGAAACCAAGAATGGGAAAATGCGGAAAGTTGCAAGGTGGAATTTCGGCACTTCGTGTTTTTCATATATTTTGATATGTGGTTCTTGGATATTCTTGGATACAGGAAATGAAACCCTCATTTGATAACATTGTTACACAATGCTCGTAACATGGATGGAGAGCAGAAGGTCCTTACCTTGTTTCCATGAACAAAGTGAAAACACCAATGGAACGCGCTTGAAAACCTGGACTGAGGTTCAAACAGAAGCTGTCGCAAAGATTGGATGGCCGAGACATACTCAGGCAACAATTCCTGAAACAAATATGGCGGACATTGCCACAAGAAAACCAATGTCCCATTTCGAATTCCACATCTAGCCAGCCATGCTGAAATCATTGGAATCAAAATATTTCCTTTTGACTTGTGGAACAAACCTGTCATAATCGGGTGGTTTTGTTATTTGGTTAAGTTTTGTGGGATACCGTTGGAACTTCCATCATTCCAAACACACAACGAAAACGCGCTAAATACCTCAGAGGTCCTCCTCGGGTAGCTGGTCCAACTTGGACCATTGAGGTTGGTAATGGGTGGCTGATGGCACCTGCACCAACTTTGGGACCTATATACCCTTTGGTAATCAAACGTGGCTGGTGCATCGGGTATACAGCTGGGAAAACCATTAAACTATTAAACTAAACCACGGGTTTTCCAGAAAAACAATGTTGGATTACCGGACGGTAGTTGTTTTTTTCTCCAAAATTTTCAAACAACGATAACGTCGCGGCAGCGCAATGCAAACTCTGAGGCCTCATGGATCAAATGCGTGAAGGAATCCTTGATGCGCTCGCGGGCTTTGTCCTGCAAGGCCATGGATCCGCTGAAATGACTTAATTGTTTCTGGTTTGTTGGAACAGCTGGTGCGCTTGTGGTCCCACACGTCGGGGGATGGGGAAAACGCGACCAGCACATGCCCCCACAGCAGCCCCGATTGGGGAGAATGCAAATTCCGAAAAACGCACGGCCCCGATTGAAGCTGTTGAGAAAGGGGTGCACGGCTGCAATCGCGTTACTTTGTTCACCTGGCATTTTGGCCGGGGATCCAGTGGATGGCAGCAACAATAGCATCAGCATAAGAAGAAGTGCTGATTCAACCAGTGACATGCCGATTGTCGTCGTAATTTCATTTCGGGTCAGTTCAAAGGGTCACTTCGGATACTTCGGGAAATTCCCCGTGTTTGGATTGAACTTCAGCGTTTACTCTGCAGACCAGGGTTCCCATGTAAAGTCACATGTGGGGTCATATAAAAGGCCATTTCGGGGTGGGATTTCCATGTACTTGGATTTAACTTCCACGTGCTCTGTAGATGAAACTTACTCTCACGTGGAAATGAATTTGGACATGAAAATTGATGCTAAGTCGGTTTTATCTTTTTTATTATCATTATTATTGTCAGTATGATTATTATTAGTAGTAGTAGTAGCAGTATTATCGGTATTATTATTATCAGCATTATTATTATCATTATGATTATCATTATTATCATCATTATCATTATTATTATCATTATTGCTATTTTTATTATCATTAATATTATCAGCATTATTATTATTAGCATTATTATCGGTAATATTATTATCAGCATTATTATTATCATCATTATCATCATCTTTATTATCATTATTGCTATGTTTATTATCATTATTATCAGCATTATTATTATTAGTACTATTATCGGTAATATTATTATCAGCATTATTATTATCATCATTATCATCATCTTTATTATCATTATTACTATCATTATTGTTATGTTTATTATTATTATTTTCATTATTATTATCATTATTATGATCAATATTATTATGATTATTATGATATTATTATTATCATTATTATTATCATTATTATTATCCGTATTACTATCATTCTTATTGTTTTTTACTATTATCATTGTTATCATCACCATCTTTATCATCATTATCTTTATCATCATTATCTTTATCATTATAATTATTATTGCCGTTATTATCATCATCATTAGTATAAATCTATGTGCAGCTTTGTACGCATAAAGAACATACCATGCCACGATGGACCTCTGCGTCAGGCTAGATCTGGGGGAGCACCCCTTCCCCTGCGGCTTCAGCGCCAAAGGATCCCTTAAAGAAACGCAGGGTTCTGGTGACGCAGAAATTCCTGTGCAGCAGAACCCCTACGTTTTTCCACGCTTTCCCAGATGTGATATTCTATGATATTCTGGGAACACAGCCGTACAAAATTGACAAATGCAATGTGCCAGATACAATTGAACACGTTTATCAAATATATATATATATATATATATACCCTAGGGGGCGGGGGTTCCCCGAGGGGGGAAGGGGTGGGGTGG